AACCGGTGAGCGCGTGGGCGGGGCTTTGGATGGCTGGGAGCCCGCTCGGGGGGTTTCATGAATGAGTAGCTGGGCGGGAGGAGGGGCGGGGCTCAAATTCAAAGACTCCAACCCGTGAAGGGGAGGGGCGTGGTCGGATTTTAGAGTGTCCAGTAGCTAAGTGGATCGAGCGAGATGGGAGCGTGACAGAAGTGCCCCTAACGCGAATAAATTGGGACTCAATCTCAGCGACCACCGCAGGTGTGGACTATGGCTAAGGAGCAACTGGAGGTAGAGTCTAATCTAGATGATTCCAGTCATGGGGTGTGAATTGGAGCTTCAAGATAGCATCCAATCAGGGAGCGGGATGGATCCCCCCCACCCCATACCTCACAACTCCCACTCATAAAATTTCCGATGGAGGTCTGAAAAGGAAGAGAGTCCCAACTGAGGACCTGCTGGAGTGTTGGAAGTTATCTCAGTTTTCCAGATGAGCGGATTTTTTTAAAGTTGTCTAAATTACATTTATTTGTGTTGGGGCGGAAGTTGTGTGTGAGGGTCAGGGGACAACTGGTGGAAATCGGTTCTCTCCTTCCACCATGTGCGTACCTGGGATCAAACTCAGGCTGTAAGGCTTGGCTGCAAGTGCCTTATTCTCCAAGCCATCTCCTCAGGCCCTAACCCGTTTGCATATACATGTTCGGGTGCGTGCGTGTTACTTTTGGAGTGAGTTCATCTTGTGCTTGTCCAATATATTTTTGTCCAACTGAGATGCAGAATGTGGGACAGGTAGAGTCAAAAAGGGTATAGTGAGATCTAGACCCAAGACATGAACAGGGCAGGATCAGACTTGGCTGGTGCTGATTATAGTTAATTGTTTCTCTCCTGTCCCTAGACCAAGGTGGAAATGAACAGGGACATTCGATTGAATGTTATTTTCCTGTCTGGGGATGTCTTCCTAGAGTGGAACTTTGGCTCTTTGAGGAGATCAGATCTTGTTTCAAACTATAGAGCAGTACATCTTCCTTGAAGGAACTTGGCGGAGGGTGGGGAAATGAGAACTATCGAATGAAGCAGGGGGTTCTGAAGGTGATGTGTGGGGAAAATGAGACCAATGAATGAAAACAAGGACTTGTAAAGGAATCAGTTGAATTTTTTTCAGGATGTTCTACCACTGAGACATAACCCAGCTCCTCACTAGTGCATTCTAGGCAAGGATTCTACCTACTGCTGGTTTTATGCCTATCCTAACAGCTTGTATCTTGCATTTATGAAAGTCAGTATGAAATGAGACAAGCAAGGCTTAGTCCAGCATGGGCCAACCTAGGCAAACTCTTGGTTCTGGGGGCCCTAGCCACACCTCCCAGAACAGGGACAGCCTGGCCTAAGTGGCTAGGACGAAGGGCCAGACTTAGGACGACGGTCCAGAGGTAGGAAGACAATTCTGTGATGGTAGTGATGAACAGTTCCCGAGCAGAATTCTGTAGCTCTGCCTTAATCACTGTCTCATCACCCCAGGTCGTGGGTGAGCCTGTACTGTGTGCTCAGCAAGGGAGAGCTAGGCTTCTACAAGGACGCCAAGGGGCCAGCTTCGGGGGGCACACATGGTGGGGAGCCGCTGCTCAGCCTGCACAAGGCCACCAGCGAGGTGGCTAGTGACTACAAGAAAAAGAAGCATGTCTTCAAGCTCCAGTGAGTCCTTCCCAGGGGCAGAAGGGAGGGGTTCTCTGCTTTGCTTTATTTCCCCAGTGGGCTCTTGGTTCCCCTGACGGACAGTGGATGATGGGAAGAGGGGTTGGGCCCCTCAGGATCCCTGAATCCTGTGTCTCCTGCAGGACCCAGGATGGCAGTGAGTTCTTGCTCCAGGCTAAAGATGAGGTAAGATCTGGTCCTTCCACCCTATAGGTTGATCTCTAAGGGGTATAGCTTCTTGGCTGGTTCCTGAACCCAAATGTTGGGGCTGTAGAAGGAACCACATAGTCCAGACCTATCAGAGCGGTAATGGGAAAGCAGTGAGAGCCCAGAGGAGCTTCATGAGACGGGGTGATGGGGATCAGGGAAGGTGCCCGGTGCCACTAATAGCTAAGTCCACCTTCTTTGCCATGGCCACTGAGGAGGCTGGAAGGATGGTGGGAGTAAGTTTAGAAGTGAGTCATCAAGGCTCTAGAGAGATGGCTCGGTGGTTAAGAAGAGCACGCCCTGCTTTTCCAGAGGACTCAAGTTTGGTTCTCAGCACATGTGGGGGCAGTTCACAACTCCCTGTGACTATAGCTCCAGGGGGCCTGACACCCTCTTCTGGGCTCCAAGGGCACCCATACACACACACACACACACACACACACACACACACACACACACACACACAATGAGACCAGGTGTGGCGGCAGGTACCTGTAATCCTAGTACCCAGGAGGCAGAGGCAGGCAGATCTTTTGAGTTTGAGGCCAGCCTGGTCTACAGAGTGAGTTCCAAGGCAGCTAAACTACACAGAGAAACCTTGACTTGAACTCCCTTCCCCACCAAAAAAAGGGAGTGATCACGGTTATCTCAGCAAATGGCAGGTGGAAGCAGGAGGAGCAATCCTGGGCTACAGAGTGAGCTTGAGGCCAGCCTGGGGTACCTTGTCTAAAAGAAGGGAAGATGTGTGACCCCCATAGAGACAACCCAAAAGGCAGCCTTGCAAAGGCTTATGACAGCCAGCTGCAGGAGCACAGTGGTGGTGAGGTAAATGGTCCCAGGAAGGTTCCCAGGGGCTAGATCGATGGGTACTGGGGGACACCGGGGGGATTTTATCCCGAGTGCACTAGGGTGGGGGTGGGGAGTACGACAGCTTTTTGAGCTAAAGAGAGTTGGTGTGAGTGTAGCCAATGTCCCCTTATAGGAGCTAGAGAAATGATTCATTGAGTATCCTAGCATTCACAAAAAAAAAAAAAAAAAAAAAAAAAAAAAAAAAAAAAAAAAAAGCCAGGCATGGCTGCCCATGGACTGATAGATAACCCCATAATTGTAGCAGACAAAGAAAGACAGGAGATTCACAGGCACTAGCTGGTGAACCCAGCTCCAGGTTCGCTGGGAGACCCCGCCTGGAGGGAATTAGGCTGGGAGTGATACAGCAGGGCACTTGGATCCTCTTCTGGCCTCCACACATGTACACAGCACAACCCCCGCCCCCAACACAGTCTCAAACGTCACACAAATGAAAGAGTGAGGTTTTTTGTTTGTTTGTTTGTTTGTTTTTGGTTTTTCAAGACAGGGTCTCTCTGTGTAGCTTTGCGCCTTTCCTGGAACTCACTTGGTAGCCCAGGCTGGCCTCGAACTCACAGAGATCCTCCTACCTCTGCCTCCCAAGGGCTGGGATTAAAGGGGGTGCCCCACCACCCTGCTGGGTCACATTTTATTTATGTGTGTGTGTTCATGAGCATCTGTGTGGGTGCCCATGTACTGTGCCTTTCGTGTGGAGGTAGAGGACCGCCCGAGTCAGTCCTCTCCTTCCGCTCCAGTGAACCCTTACCCACTGAGCTCTCTTTCTGGCCCCCCAATAATTTATCTCAGAGCTTTTATAAAAAGTGAAGTAAGTTGATACATGGAGGCCAATCAATCAGCACAGGGCCTGTAACCGTCAGGGCTCTGCAAGCTTCTGCTCAATGCTTCCCCTCGTTGGGGTTGTTTGTCTCGGTGTGTGGGAAGGGTGTTTTGTAGATAGTGCTATTGCTTCTGTTTGAGTGAATAAACACACAGAAGTGCCTAGAGAGGAGTCCCCTTATCCTCACGGCCAGTGTTACCCGGATAACAGAAGCAGCAGCAGAAGCCAGGGAGGGAAGTGTGGGGTTGGGATCCTCCTCCAAATACGGACCTGTCCCGCTTGTTCCGCCAGGAGGAGATGAATGGCTGGCTGGAGGCTGTGGCTAGCTCAGTGGCAGAACACGCCGAGATCGCCCGCTGGGGCCAGACACTACCTACCACATCATCCACAGATGAGGGCAACCCCAAGCGTGAGGGCGGGGAGCGTAGGGCCAGCGGGCGCCGGAAGTGACTCCAGGTACCCTCCCCCCTTGGAGTCTGACCAGTCTCCTCGCCCCTCCTCTCCGCACTGTGGACACAAAGACACCTTCTTATCCGCAAGGGCAGGAATGACTGCGGATGTGTCATGGTGGGCCCTGGAATGGAAGGGACTTCTCCTGCACTCCAAGAAATGGTGGTGGGGGATTGCTGTCCCTATAGCCATATCTCGGTCCCTTCCCGCTCGCCAACCCCACCCCAGGTGCTGGGGCTCCATTCTTTTTATGCAATAACTGAGCTTGGTGGGGACGGGCAGGGAGCCAGTTGAGCCAAGCCCCCTGCCCCATCGTCAGATCCTGCCCCGAGAAGCTGGAGTGGCGAGGGATCTGGGAGGTGGTGGTATTCGTTGGCCTCCTCTCCGCCCTAAGGATGGACACGGGGGCGCTGGTGAGGTCCCCTGGACCATCCAGGGTGCTAGGGGGTGGGGAGGGGACACGCTCCCTCCCTGCCTTTACCTCACTTCCAATGCTGCCTTGATCTGTCTGGGAAGAGGGAGCGAAGGGGTCCTTAGCCCCTGCACCCGCCATCTCAGCGCCATGCGGTTAATTCCTGACTTAGTTTATTTTTGCAAAAATGTAGACCTCCCCCTCCGTCCCCCGCCCCGCATCCGCGAAGGCTTTTAATAGGAGGGGAGTCAAAGTTCAAAACTGTCTTCCTCTCTCCTCCCCCATCCAGCTGTAAATGCCACTTCCCGAGGGGAGGGGGGTGGGGAAGCCCTCCCCCCTGCATGCTTCTGGCTGGAGCACCTCCCTGGGAGTGGGGGTATCAGGGTTACAGGCAGCCCCAGTGGCTGCCTGGAGACGGCGCCAGGGCTAGAGGTGCGGGGCGGTGTGGCAGGCGCACACTGTATGTACCTATAATAAACCCTTTGGCTTTGACGGTCTACGTTGGTTTCTTCGCGTATACGAGAGGATTGGAGGGTGGGCTGGTGCGGGCCGAGGCTGTGAAGACCTTAGACTCTAGATGTACCTACGCATTGGTGCAGGTTCATTTCAAGATCTGCACACGTACTCCTCAACGAATCGCCTAGATGTTATACCTAAATAAGGGAATCCAGAAATAGGGGGAAGCTATTAAACTACCCCAAAGCAGCCCAGAGGTGCGTCCCGTCGAGACCAGGAAAGACCGCCCGGCTTTGAAGAGTCAGAGAACGTAATTGCGATGAGCGAGTGCTCTGTCCAATCGTCAGAGAATCCTGTAGCCTCTAGACCAATGAGCAAGCGTCAGGGGCGGGGTCTGTGCACACCCGGAAGTGGGTGCAGGCCGGCAGGCTCGCCGGGGGGCCATGGCTGTTGCGATGACTGCTACGGAGGGGGTCCCAAGTCGTGGAACCCCCGGGGAAGTAATTCATCTGAACGTGGGGGGCAAGCGGTGAGTGTGGGAGATCCCTGAGGCCCCATCCTACGGGACCCAGGCGGGATGCCCGCCTCTTCTGGGAGTGGGGGTGGTAAACCCTGTCCATCAAGGATTGCTCCGCCCTGTGCTGGAGGCTTGGCACTTGGATAAAAAAAAAGCCAAAGGAGGGAAGATTTGGTGCGTGGATCGCACGGGAGGAGGCAGTGGTACTCAGCTCCCCGTCATCCGTTTCCTCTCCTTACCTCACGGCCCAGGTTCAGTACCTCTCGCCAGACGCTCACCTGGATCCCAGACTCCTTCTTCTCCAGGTGATTAGGAGAGTCGGTTAGGGGTGAGGGTAGGAGGGGATGAAAGGAGAGGGTGTGGGGAGACTCATTTCCACCCTTGCTCACCTCCGCAACTCGGCTCGTGACACTCCCCCGTTTCCCCTTCCTCTAGTCTTTTGAGCGGACGCATTTCAACTCTGAAAGATGAGACCGGAGCTGTGAGTAGGGCAAGATCAAAAGTGGAACGGCCAGTGGGAGGAGGAACAGGACCTCCCACTTACTCCAGGTCTTTGCCATATCCTCCCCTCCCCCCCGCCCCATGCAGATCTTCATCGACAGGGACCCCACCGTCTTTGCCCCCATCCTCAACTTCCTGCGGACCAAAGAGTTAGACCCCAGGTTGGTATGGGTAAGGGGGTGAGTTCCACCACCATATAAGTCTCTCCTCCTTCTCTGAATGTTCATTTGTTCCATTTTTCAGGCTTGATCATGTTATTCATCCCCCCCTCCAAATATATGCACACATTTGGTACCACTCATATCTTTGTTCCCTAGATTTTTAAAAAGTATTTTATGTATTTGTTTGTTTGCTTTTTTGTTTGAAACAAGGCCTTGCTCTGTAGCCCTGGTTGCCTAGAAATCTCAGTGAAAACCAGGCTGGCCCCAAACTTTGATCCTCTTGCTTCTACTCCCCTGTTCTGGGGTGGCAGGTATGCACCCTCTCAAACTCCCTAGAATCTTAAGCCCGTCAAAACTAGCACAGTTTCAAAAGCCTTCTCGGAACTGCTGCCCACCCCTACACCCCAGACTTTGACCCCGAGTCTCTTCTATTACCTAGGGGTATCCACGGTTCCAGCCTCCTCCATGAAGCCCAATTCTATGGGCTCACTCCACTGGGTAAGTGGAAGTGCCCACCTCCATCTACTCCTCCCCACCCATCAGCACCCTCGGTTACTTCCTGAGCATTCTCTGCCTCTTTGACTCCCTCAGTCAGAAAGAGCTAAGAGCCCTGGATTTGGGTCTGACTCTGAAGGAGTTGGCAGTTCTGTGGAAAACCAAATGGGGAGAGGGACATGGGTCTGCCTTAGTATCCATCCCTCAAGACCAGGTGTTGGGTCCTTCCCTTGCAGTTCGTCGCCTGCAGGTAAGGGAAGAATTGGATCGATCTTCCTGTGGAAATGTCCTCTTCAATGGTTATCTACCTCCTCCAGGTGGGTACTCCCAATAGATGCAGGTGAGTGGGCAATTGGGTTAAAGACTACATTTCCTGTAGGGCTGCAAACCCTGAGATACCACCTGTATTTGCAGTCCTGAGCTGCACTGGGACTTGTAGTTCTTTATCAGATGCTTGGAAAGGAAATAGGAAACAGCATTTTCCATGAAGCAGTGCAGTTCTCTTAAGAGCTCAGAATCAAGTACTAGAGCCTAATGGAGGTGTTGCCTGAGTTTTCTTAAGTTTCACCCTGTTTTTCAGAAAAAAGAAACAAAAACCAAACATTTAAAATATAAGCTTTATCATACTAACTTGATACCACAAATACAGTGAAATCATGAGAATAAAGCCTGAACAGAACAGCTGGGCATGGTGGTGCATGCCTTTAATCCCAGCACTCACGGGGCTGAAGCAGGCGGATCTCTGTGAGTTGGAGAGCAGCTTGGTTTACATATCCAATGGCAGGACAGTCAGGGCTGTCCTCGGAGACCCTGTTTCAAAACACACACCACAGCAAAAAGCCAGAACAATGTTCTGTCTCCCAAGGGAGAGTCCCTCTTTTAGGAGGGAAGATAACCAAAATTTTAATTTAGTCTATAATAATAAATAATAATAGCTATAATAAATAATAATAGCTTATTATTATTATTATTGAGACCCTGTCTCAATGAACCTGGAATTCACCAATTGGCTAGGCTGGCTTGCAAGCAAAGTGTCAGGATCCATCTTTGTCCACTTTCCCAGCTCTGGGGGTCCAAACCCTGAGTCATGCTTATATAGCAAGTACTTTACCCATGAGCCATCTCTGTAGCCCCTGTAATTATATTCTTTATTTTATTATAGATTTGTTATAGTATAGAGTTCGCACCCAGGGCTTTGTGCGTGCCCGGCAGGTGCTATGCACGGAGCCACACCCCCAAACCTTGACTGGGGAAGTCTAGACATGTGTTCTACTTCTGATCAAGCCCCCAGCCCTTCCCGTGTAAAGTCTGGGAATATATTCTACTGCTGAGCTATAGCCTATCTCTATTTTTACTTTAAAAAATAGTTATTACATGTATTTATTTATTGGGGCACATGGGGAGGGCATGTATGGATATCAGAGGACAATTTGCAGGAATCATTTCTCTCCTTCCACCACATGAGTCTCAGGATCAAAGTCAAGATTGTTAGGCTTGGTGGCAAGCACCTCCTCCTACTGAGACATCTCACTAGGCTTCTACATTTTTTTTTTTTTTTTGAGATAGGGTCTCACTAAGTTGCCCAGCCTGGCCTTGAACTTACAATCTTCCAGCTCCAGATTTCCAAGCAGTTGCAATTACAGACCTGCCTACCAGGCCTGGCTAAAATTAGCAAATAATGAAAAGGCATCACTATCATAGCAGCACCAAACTTGGTCTTTCTCTGTAATAGGCTTCTGGGTCATTGAATGCCATATCCTGGTGCCACAGAACACCTTCCCCAGGACACTATGTATGCCCCACACAAAGAATTCATGCTTGTTGTAGTTTGAGTGTTCGTAGACTGACAGCCCACCACGGTTATAATTATGGTGCCTGCCGTTTCTCCTCACGATAGTATTCCCAGTGAAGCGGAGAAACCGGCACAGCCTAGTGGGGCCCCAGCAAGCAGGGGGACGTCCAGCCCCTGTTCGACGGAGCAACACCATGCCCCCCAACTTGGGTAATGCAGGGCTGCTGGGCCGAATGCTGGATGAGAGAGCACCTCCATCCCCATCAGGTAGGTTTCTGACTTTTGCGTGTGGGTTGTGCTCGGACTGAGCCTAGAGCATACATTCTGGCACTGTGTAGCCTCTTTTTTGGTTTTGCTTTGAGACAGGATCTCACTCTGGCCCAGGCTGGCCTGGAGCTCAATGTAACCCAGTCCTCCTGCCTTAACATCCTGAGTGCTAGAATATGAACCATGGCGTGGACTCTTTGAGCCCTTGTTTTTATTTGATTATATTTAATTATCATCATTGTGTACATGAGTGAACTCATAACACAGTGCACTTGTGGAGTCCAGAGGGAACCGTGTGGGTTTTGGAGATTGAACCCAGGTTGTGGGGCTTGTGCCAGAACTGCTTCTATGTGCTGAACTTGCTGTTCTGAGTCAGGGTCTCACTAAGTTGCCCAGACTGGCCTTGAACTTGTGTTCTTTCTGTCTCAATAGCCAGACTAACTGAGGTTACCGGCCTGCATCACCAGCTGTAGCTTAAATTTCTGTCCTTTAGGAGGTCAGGGCCAGTGGGCCCCTGTGACCCTCTGCTCTGGTCTCCTCTCTTACCCCTAAGGCCAACCGGAAGAGCCAGGGATGGTGCGATTGGTTTGCGGTCACCACAACTGGATTGCCGTGGCTTACAGCCACTTTCTCGTCTGTTACAGGTGCTGAGGATGGGAATGGGGTTGTGGGAGGCTCTGAGGTAAGGGTTGCTGATCTCCCCCAATCTCACAGGCTGAAGGAAGCCTCTGGCTGGCAGCTAGCTTTTTCCAGCCCTCGTCTGGACTGGCCCATTGAGCGCCTGGCTCTCTCAGCCCGGGTGCTCAGCGGTGCTCTGGGTGAGCATGACAGGATGGTGGCTGCAGCCACCGGCAGCGAGATTCTTCTGTGGGCTCTGCAGGCACAAGGTGGTGGCTCTGAGATAGGTATGCCCTTCAGCCTTTTCTAGAACCTGGTAGAACTTTGTAATCTTGAAATAACCCAACCCATGAAACTGGATGCCCATATTAGAAGAATAAGAATTCTATGCCCTAGTCAATCTCTTTACCCTGTGAGAGAATGTTCCAGACCTTCAGAATCCTGAATGTTTTGTTTTGCCTTAGACAAGGTTTTACCATATAGTCCAAGCCTTGAATTCCAGGTCTTCCTGTCCTCAACTCCTATTTTCTGGACCACAGCAATACCATCATGCTGATTATATTTTATCTTTATATATATTTAATCCATGTGTCTGGATAGAGGGGAGCATGCATGAAATCCTGGATCTAATCCAAGCACCATATAAACTGCATATGGTGATACACAGCCGTAATCCAGCACACAGAAGGTGGAGGCTAGCCTGGGCTACCTGGGACCCTGACTCAAAACAATAATAACAAAATTCAGCCCTCAGTTGTCATAGGCCTTTACCCAATGGGAGAGTTTAGCCTTTTTGGAAACCTCAGCCTGTTAGAATTCTACCTGCCCTTAGAGTTCCACACCCATCAAGAATTCTGTGTAGTTCCTGGAATCCTCTTTGCCATGGGGATTCCATTTCCCAACAAAACCCATGGCTCTTGTGGTTCTTGCTGTCTCGACCTACCCCTGCAGTGGGCTTCCAGCTTCCCATTGAGCCCTCCTTGCTGCCTCACCCACCCCTGCAGTGGGCTTCCAGCCTCCCATTGAGCCCTCCAGCCCCTCCTTGCTGCCTCACCCCTGCAGGTGTCTTACAGCCTCTCCTTGCTGCCTCACCCCTGCAGGTGTCTTACAGCCCCTCCTTGCTGCCTCATCCCTGCAAGTGTCTTACAGCC